ACCTGCGAGGAAGCCGAGGCCGAGAAGAGGGAAGCGTCCACCCCCCTGAGCAGCAGCTGCAGTGGCGGCGGAGGCAGTGCGGGGAGGAGGGAGCCGGGCGCTGCAGGGCTGGGGCTCCGGGGGGCGCTGGAGTGGATTCCTGCAGCGAGCAGCCGGGACCAGGGGCGGGAGGATGCTCCCGGAGCCAGCACCGATCCTGAGACCCCGCGGGATGGTACGTTCCTGATCTCGCCTCCACGGGAACAAGCAGGCAGCAGACAGCAGCCGGGCGGCCTATCTGAGGCCCGGGAGCGAATCCCTCCGTGGGAAAGTCCCAGGAGGGCGCGGGTGGAGGGTGGGTGGGGTCAGAGGTGGTGGGCATCAGAAATGAGCCTTCCTGGACCTCCTGTCGCCTCGTCCCCTCTCCCCAGCCCCTGTCCAGGCCGGCAGCCACCGCTGGCCTGTCGTCCTCGCTGAGACTGCCGTGCCGGAGGCTCGCTGGCTGTCAGCGCCGGCTCCCCCTCAGGAGCGGGGCTGCCTGAGCCGCTGCCATCTTACTGTGCTGCCAGCCGAGGAGCCCTTCGCTGGCTGGTCCCTGTGTCTCCGCTGCTCACGGCGCCCGCCTTGCTTCTGGTTTTCTCTTTGGGTGTGGGCTGGGAGGACTGGTGGGGAGAGGAGGACAGGAGAGAGGAGGCTTCACTTAATCAGTGCTGAGTGCATCCTTCATCAGCGAGTTGGCTGACAGGGACTTAATGGGTCTTGTTTGTAAAAATTGCCTCTTTTCCTGGGAACTGTTTCCTCTAATATTTATCTCAGGACATTTTTAATGAAAGATTTTACGTGTTATTTTAGGGAAGTGGTACTGGAGGGGACCTTTAAGACTGGCAGGTGCTTTCTCGTTGATGGAGGTGGACCAGGGAGCGGCCTGGGTCCCCCGAGGTTCCGCGCGGAGAGCGCAGGGGCCTGCCCGCGCTGGCTCTGCTCGCGGCCCGGGCCTGTCTGTGCCGTCCCCACCGCCCAGTTCGCGCCGAGGCCTTCGCGGTGTGATGCGTGAAGATTTTGTTTCTTCAGAACAAGCTCATCCGGGTTCAGGCTAACTGCAGTCCATACTGATGGAAATTTTAACGACTGGCAAACCCCAGCGCTGATCCCTCACTGGTGACTGTTTGCTGGTTCTGCCTGGTGCTGTGTGCGGACGAATGCGGGCAGCACGCCTGCCACACGCCAGTCTGGTCACGACCCCGTTGGATGGGAGCGCTGGGGAGAGGGCTGTACATCGTGGGCACTTTCTGGAGAAGGTGGCCAAGGCGCCGAGGAAAGCCTCCGGGCAGAGGGCCTGACACAGGCGCAGCCCGGGCGGCCCCTGAGAGCCAGGCCACTCTGAGGGCAGTCTCCCGGAGCCACCGCCGGCCGCAGAGCAGGCTCCATTCAGAGAAGCTCCGTCATGGAGCGACGTGACAGGCTGTCGAGTCCGACTGGAGCCACGGCGTCTCTCTCGGGCCCACTCTTCCCTTCCAGAAGCCGTGTTTGCCGCCGCCCTCACTGTTGCTGTCTTTGTGGCTCTGGTCTGCACGGGACATCGGCTGACCCAGTTGGGGCTCTGTGTCCCACTCTGCATTACCTTAAATCTCAGGGACCCGAGTTACTGAGCTGTTAGAGCGAGCGGTAAATGAATCCTCCTGGCGCAGCTTGGCCGTAGCTGTTTGCCAGCCGCCACAGGCCGATACGCTGCCGGCTGATAGCAGCTTCCTGGCCAGACCCGGCCCTGCCCCGGAGGCCCTGGGGAGGTGCGATGAGCGCGGCCAGAGCCCCCTCACTTCCTCCCCCAGTTGGACGGGGAGTTGGGGGGAGGGAGGAAGTCTGGGAAGTGGTTTGGAGCCCAGGTGTCATGATGCCCTCACAGCGCTTCAGGGTCCCCTGGTGTTCAGAACTCGGGATTGCCTGGGACAGAAACACTCACCTGTGATCGGTAGACAGTGCTGGAGGAGAGGCGATGGATTGGTCATTAGATCCTGTTACGGTCATTAGATCAGTCCCGGCGTCACAACAGGAAATGCAGCAGAGGTGGGGCCAGCTGGACTGGAACCCTGGGTGCTGTGTAAGGCACGTGCTGGTGTGAGAGAGAGAGAGAAAGAGAGGGAGAGAGAGAGGGAGAGAGAGAGAGAGGTCTGTGGGGGGGGGAAGAGAGGGAGAGAGAGGTCTGTGTGTGTGTGAGTGTGTGAGAGAGAGAGAGAGAGAGAGAGAGAGAGAGAGAGAGAGGTCTGTGTGTGTGAGTGTGTGAGAGAGAGAGAGAGAGAGAGAGAGAGAGAGGTCTGTGTGTGTGTGTGTGTGTGAGAGAGAGAGAGAGGTCTGTGTGTGTGTGTGTGTGAGAGAGAGAGAGAGAGAGGTCTGTGTGTGTGTGTGTGTGTGAGTGTGAGAGAGAGAGAGAGAGGTCTGTGTGTGAGTGTGTGAGAGAGAGAGAGGTCTGTGTGTGTGTGTGTGTGAGTGTGAGAGAGAGAGAGAGGTCTGTGTGTGTGTGTGTGTGAGTGTGTGAGAGAGAGAGAGAGAGGTCTGTGTGTGTGTGTGTGTGTGTGAGTGTGTGAGAGAGAGAGAGAGGTCTGTGTGTGTGTGTGTGTGTGAGTGTGTGTGTGAGTGTGTGAGAGAGAGAGAGAGGTCTGTGTGTGTGTGTGTGTGTGTGTGTGTGTGTGTAGGGGGGTGTTTTGAACCCTGGGTTTCCCCGCAGGTAGTAATGAGAAGGTCCAACAGGAGAGCAGGTTTGTGGAGCAGTTAACGAGTTGTGTTTCACACTTTTTAGCTGGGGGGGGTGGGTAGAGGTGGTGGTTGCTAACAGTTGGCAGAGGATGCGGGGCGTGGCAGAAGCGCCGTCTGAGGGTTGCTCACGTGCTCTTGGCTGGGGCGTTCGCCGTGCAGGTGGAGGGGCTGCACGGTCGTGTCCCAGCAGCGAGGCCTGCAGGAGGTCGTGTTGTCCCTGAAGATCCCGGCCCCTGGGGGCGCCCAGAGGTCAGGGCTGCGGGCAGAGGCGCACTGGGCAGGCACCAGCTCTGCTGCGCAAAGGCAGTGCTGCCCGCCTGGCATGGCACTGCTGTTTTCTTCCTTCGATGTATCTGTTGACTTCAGAGAGGACGGAAGAGGGAGAGAAACATCACTGATCGGCTCTTCCCAGCGGGCCCTACACTGGGAATCAAGCCCACAACCCAGGCCTGAGCCCTGACTGGGAATCGAACTGTGACCTCCTGGTTTCTAGGCTGACACTAAGCCACATTGGCTGGGCCCACCCAAAGATTTAAAAATCACTTAGAGGTGTAATAGGAATGTATTTTTCCCGTTCTTCTCTAGACAAATGGTTCATGTTACACATACTGTTCGGTGTCTGGCCTTTTTCTTCCTTCCTTTTTTCGCTTAGAGATGGTTCTGAGTTTACATTGATATAAACAGTTTCTTATTCATATATGTCTGGATTATTTCAGGTCTTTGCTTTTAATAACAGTGCTCTGATAAAAAACCACGATCTTGGCCCTGGCTGGTGTGGCTCAATGGAGAGGGCGTTGGCCTGTGGTCTGAAAGGTCCCAGGTTCAGTTCCAATCTAGGGCATGTACCTTGGTCACCGGCTCAGCCCCTGGCCCTGGTCAGAGGTAACCAATCGATGTGTCTCTCTCCCTCTGTCTCTCTGCCCTACCTCTCTCTCCAATCAGTGGGAAATGTCCTTGGGTGAGGATGGACAAGCAGAAGACCGTGATGCTGGCTGTTGTGCAGGTGTATGGCTGCGTCTCTGAAGTGTACGGCTTTTGGAAGTTGGGTTTCTGGATTAGAATTGACCTGACTAGCTCGCTTCGGCAGCACATGTACTAAAATTGGAACGATAGAGAGAAGATTAGCATGGCCCCTGCGCAAGGATGACACGCAAATTCATGAAGTGTTCCATATAAAAAAAAAGAAAAAGAAAAAAAAAAATTGACCTGACTTGTCATTTCAGAGAGACTGCGAGAACGCCCTGCGGATGGGCGGTTCCATTTCGTACATGTGCCAGCGTGTATGTCCTCATGTTGTCCCCACAGCTACTTTCAAATCTCAGGACTTTTGACAATATGTTAGGTTAAAAGTAGCATATCTGGATAGTTTTGATTTTCATTTTTCTTAAAGACTGGACATAATTTCTTTAAAACGTGATTTGTATCTATATAAACTGTTCATACTCTTTGGCCATTTTTCTACTGGTTGTTGGTCTTTATAGGAGTTGCAGATTTATAGGAGTAATTTACATAATAATTCCTTTGTCTTTGATGTGAAGCTCACTTGGCGTGTTTTTCCCTGCTTATCACTGCTTTTTGCTTTTTGTTACTTTGGCCTCAGGGTTTTTATTTTTCTGTGGTCTAAGTTACTTTCGTGGCTTCTGAACGCTGTGAGTCAGAAAGGTGCCCCTAGGCCAGGCCGAGTGCGGTGGCGTTCAGTGCTGGGGGGTGGAGTCTGGAGCGGCGCAGCGGGGCGCTGGCAGAGCCCGGCCGGAGGCTTGGCTTCGCGGGTCCGGTTTCCTGGGTCCCTGCGGTGCTGGGAATCGGGGTCACGGCCGGAATGAGATCGCGCCGAGCTCACGTCCTGCACAGTGTGCCTCACAGGGAGAGGAAGGAAGAGGAGCCATGCGTGACCTCCTGGCAGGCAGCCCATCTGTGCCCTTTATCCGCAGATACCCCGCTAGGGGAGGCTCCCTGTGCACGCTGGGATTGGTGGTTGGGCGACAGAACCCTTTGCCTGTCTGTCTCCGGGGAGGGAAGCCAGATTTGAAGGCTGTTTCCTCCCTTGATCACCTGTGCAAACCCCACTTGGGTTGCCTCCCCGGGGACAGGCCGGCCGGATCTCTGGAATCTGAGCCCCCGGCGCCGTGAGGGAGCGTGGGAGCCTGGTCCCCATTTCAGCCACAGCCTGCGGGCGCTGAGAGCGAAGCGCTCGTTAGCTGTGTCTGCTGAGACGCGCCTTGTTGAAATGGGTGTGAAAGCCATTTGCTCATCGTAGCTTCCTCCCCTAGGAGTACCCCGGCCAGAAGAAGGACCAGCCGCAGCGAGCGTGACCGGAAATGACATCACGGCCCCTCCAGACAAGGAGCTCCCGCCCAGCCCCGAGAAGAAAGCCAAGGTAGTGGCCGGAACGGTGGGTCACCTCTTACCGCTGTCGCTCTGGTCGTGAGTGAAGTTTCTTTTTTCTGAGTTGTTACTAGTCTTTTCTCAAATTTGGATGTACTTCATATTATGGTAATATCCCCATTTTACCTTCACATCGCTGCCTTTGACCCTGTTATCTGCAGAGGTGGTTTCTGCTTCTCAACAGCAGCAAAAGGAATTACAGAACGCTTTTCAGTGGTCTCGCCCCAGCCGGTCTGCCTCAGTGGACAGAGTCAGCCCACGGGTTTGATTCCGGTCAAAGGCACGTACCTTGGTTGCAGGCTTGACCCCAGCCCTGGTCAGGGTGCATGCAGGAGGCAGCCAGTCAATGTGTCTCTTTCACATCGATATTTCTCTCTGTGTCTCTCACCTCCCTTTCACTCTCTCTAAAAATCAATGGAAAAATATCCTTGGGTGAGTCTTAACCAAAAAAAGAAAAGAAATAGATTCTAAATCTGCATTCATGAAAGGGAACACAAATTTTTAAGGTGAGGCATGGCTTCAGAAATGAATTGGTACTAATCGCAAAGTTCAAAATCACACGTCCGTCCATCCATGTGGTGTTTGACAGGAAGCAGATTGCCCTGGGGTGCAGGGAGTGGTAACCCGTCTCCTGCTGGCCATTTTCCATAGAATTGTCACAGCCCCCGGAAGTTAGTTGGTGTTAGGGCTGCACGGAACTTAAAGCTTAGGTGGCAAGCTGCTGGAGTTGGTGGCACCTCACTGAGAAAGTCCCCGTTCCTCTCCGTCCTGGTGCCTCTCTGCTATTGACTGAACTCAGAAAAAAGGAATGCTCATTTTCAGTTGCATCTCTCCTCCTTGCTTATCATTTTGCTTTGAATTGTGCCATTTATACTTTTTTTTTACATTTTGTTTTTGTTCTTGTCTGTGTGTTTGATGTTGGCCTATTAAAAAAACAAACAAACAAAAAAATCACACCAACAAATCAACTTAAAGCCTTCGGCCACAACTCATCCTGCAAAGACTTCGACACCGAAAGCCAAAACTCAGCCCACTTCTCTCCCTAAGCAACCAGTGCCCGCCGCCGTGGGCGGGCCGGCCAAAAAGCCCATGAGCCCCGCCTCAGGCCCGGGGCCCGCCGCCCCACCCAAACGCCCTGCAGCCGCCACCGCCAGGCTGTCCGCCTCGCCTGCCAAGGACGCCAGGCCCAAGGTAAGTGGCGCCTGAGCTCTGCGCAGGGCGCTACCCCGGCGGGCCCGGCTGGAGGCGGCCCCGCTGCTGCCCGCGTGCAGTCAGCCAGTGGGGCTGGGGGGCCAGGGGAAGGGGCTGGACAGTCTGCTGGGGGCCCTGAGGCAGGCCTCCGTGCTTCGTACTTCCCTGCCCTGGCTGAGGCAGCTCTGCCTGTGCTGGGATCCTCCTGCGCCCGGCTCCCCTTCCTCCCCCTGCTCCCCGCTGTCACCAGGTCCCCCTCCTCCTCGAGCTGCCAGGTTCCATGTTTGCTGTGATTCCCGCAGCTTATCCCCGGCGGTTCCCTCTGTCCTCCCGTCCCTCACTCTGCGGAGGGACTTGGCCCTCCCGTGCTCAGTTCTCCCCTGGGCCCGCGGGCCGCAGCACGGCAGCTTCCTGTGCTCTGGCTCCAGGCCACCTCGCCCTGGGCTGCGCCAGGCCACCCTCACATTATTGCCCAGAAAGCATTGGCCTCACAGAGTTCCACAGCTCAGTTTGTGGGGAAAGGCTGGACATCAGCTTGCCGTCTTTAAGGTCACCCTGGGAAACAGGCTCTGGTCAGTGTCGAGTGTCTGACCCTGACCTTGTGAGGAAAACTGGTGGAGCCGGGAAGTGTAACCCAGGTTAGATCCTGGCCAGGAAACCGGAGGATCAAGCGTCCGCGGGACGCTGTGTGGTCCTCACTCACCCAGCTGGCTGCGGTTCTGGCTTTGTGGGGAGCTGTCCAAGAACAGGAGGGAAGAGGGAGCTCTCTGGAGCTCAGTGCCCAGGCCACTGGGTCTGTGGCTGGGCTTCCGGAACGGGGTCACCTCGGGCTCCGGCCCCACCCTCTGTCCCGCCGTCACCTGTTCTCTGAGCTGCCCTGTGTGCAGACAGGACTGGGCCCAGAGGGGCTCGGCGACCCCCCAGGAGCACTGAGCTGGGGGCAGCCTGGGCCTGGGTCCTCCCGCTGCAGTCTGGCCCGCTCAGCTCCCACAGGAGCAGCTAAGCCAGAAGAAGGGGGGGTGACTGGACGTCTTTCTTTCTGCCTTCCCTGTTGGAAGTGTCACATGGTCCTCCTTTTTGACTAGATGCGTGTAAAGTTTTGGTTGTTTATGATCTGCTCACTGTTGGCCGAGTATTTAGTCCACTGAGCACATCAGTGCTTCACGCAGTCGGGCCCGAGGCACCCATTGGGGAGGGCCATTCATTCTCAGCAGGCGGTTGGCTGGAGGTCGGCTCACTGTTCCTGATGTCCCACCGCACCTTCTGGCTGTGTCCCTGCTCCCTGGAGCCCGGGCCCTGCGCTCGGGCTGTGCGTCTGGGAGCGCCCTTCGCCAGCACTCCCTGGGCTGCGCCGACGCGCGGCTCTCACTCCCCCTTTCCTGCTGTCAGCCTGTTGCAGAAGCAAAGGCTCCCGAGAAGAAGGCCACGCCGTCCAAGCCCACCTCGGCCTCGGCCTCCAGGCCCGGCTCCAGGAGCACCCAGGCCTCTCCAAAGGCCCCCGCAGCCGCCTCTGTGGCCTCAACTGGGCCGAGCAGCAGGAGCGCCCCGGTGGCCCTGCCCAGGAGGCCCGCCGGTGAGTATGGCCACCCCTTCCCAGGGGACGGTGGGGAGGAGAGCGGGGTCTGTGGCAGCCGTGGTCCCCGGGGAGGGGGCAGGCCCGTGTCTTCAGGCAACCGTGAGTGAAGAGGACTGTCCTGACCTTTCCCAGTGTCTCCGTGGCACCAGCACACCGCCTGACTCCTTAGGCGCATGCTGGCCGCCTCTTCCTGAGGCATGTGGAAGGCGGTGGCAAGCCCAGGAAAGAGGAGACAGGATGCACCCTTGTGCCCTGCAGCGGGCGTGGCTTCACGTGGTCTAATGCATGGCTGTCCCCGAGGCCACCTGAGCCTCTGGCTCGGCGGACACCCAGGCACTGCTGAGGGAGTGAATGAGTGAGTGAGTGAGTGAGTGAGTCCCAGTGCTGGACGTGCCATTCAGCAGGTCCGTTTGCTAAGGCGTACTGAGCAGGCATGTTTGTGCAGGCACCAAGACTGAGGGCAAGTCTGCAGACGTCAAGAAGATGGTGACAAAGTCTGTGCCAGGTAACGCCCCCCACGTGGTGGGGCCCGAACTTCAGCCCCACGCCTGTGGCTCCCGGCTCCGCAGGCTCTCCCTGAGCCCCTCTCTCCCGCCTTCCAGCTGACCTGAGTCGCGCCAAGAGCAGCTCCAGCAGCGCCTCGAGGAAGGTCGCCACTGGCCCCGGGGCGGCCTCCCCGGCAGGCTCGGCTCCCGGTCGCGCCAGGCCCACGCCCGTGTCTCCCCGGCCCTCTGGGGCTCTTGCCGCCGACAAGAAGCCCGCGTCAGCCAGGCCCAGCTCCTCGGCCCCCAGGCTGAGCCGCCCGGCGGCCAGCGCGTCCATCCCTGATCTGAAGAACGTCCGCGCCAAGGTCGGCTCCACGGAGAACATCAAGCATCAGCCCGGAGGCGGCCGGGTGGGTCCGGGGCCGGGTCCTGGTGCAGGACTGGCTTCTTTCCCGCCGCGTCACGCTGTCCCCGCATGTCCTCACCGCGCCCGGACACCGGGGCGGGGCGGGGGGGCGGCGGCGTGGGGCTGGGCGGTGGGCTGAGCGCGGCGCCTTCGCTCCCCATTGGCCTCGGGCTCTGCTCGGGGGGTGGGTTAGGCTCTCAGTTCACGTGGCGACAGAGGTTCTCTACGACGTGACCAGAGGAGACGCCGGACTGCGGGCGCGGGGGGCGGGGGCACCGCTGGCTGGTCCTGGGTCCCCCCTGCACAGGGGGCAGTGGGAGCGGCTATGGACGAGGAGGGTGACCTGGTGGCCGTGGCCGCCCGTGGGCCTTTCTGTTTGCGTCCGTCCTGGAGTCACTTGTTAACTGTTAGCAGCGGAGGCGGCGGAGGCAGGAGTCCACTGCCCGGTCCCTGGCGCAGCCTTGTCGTCCTCATGCCCCAGCCCTCCGCCGCCCGGGCAGGACCGCAGCTGGGAAGGGAAGAGGCCCAACGAGGCAGGGTCCTGCTGGGGTGGGAGGCCCTCCAAGAGGACTGGCCTGGGGTGAGGGCCGAGGGCCCGGCTCTGCCCGCTCCTGCCCCCGCATGCCCCTTAGGCTCTCCCATGCAGCCGTGGGGGCAGCCGAGGGCTCGCTCCGGCGGTTCTGCTTTCTGTCCCACACGCCCGAGGGGCGTGACACTCACAGGAGTGGCTCGCAGTGACCACGGGCTTGGGGCAGATGAACGTTGGAGTGGGCGGACTTCGCGGTTGGAAGGGTAGCCGAGGCCACGCTCAGCGCAGAGCGGCTGGCGGGGGCCCCCTGCCGGGTCTCTGATGCTGCTCTCCTGGGGCCGCTTTGTCTGCAGCTCCTCCCTCTGGCCGGTCTCCCCTGGGAAACGGGAGTTTTTCCCAGGAGCAAGGGCGACCTGCGCTGCTGGCCTGGATTCCTTTCATTCTGGTACCTGGGCTGCTGTCCTTGTTTGAAATGTGCCCTCCTTTCTCCCCGTCCAGGCCAGAGTGGAGGAGAGAGCAGAGGCGGCAGCTGCAGCTCGAAAGCCTGGCCCTCAGGCGGCCACTAAGCCTGCTGGCCCCGGCGTGAGTGCACAGAGGGCACCTGCGGGCAAAGTGAGTGACCGGCCTGCCTCTTGCAGGCCGACGCACAGCACGCCTCCTGCTCCTGTCCTTCAGCTCCGCTTTCACGGTGCCGCTCCCTGTTTCTCACCAACCCGGAGAGTAACGGGACTCTAGTGCTTTGGGGCCTAAATGTTCAGCTGGGTCTGCAGCTTTCAACCACTTCCTTCACTCTGACCTTGACCTGACATCCCGCTGTTACCGCGCACACTCACACTCACACTCACACTCAGGAGGGCAGGGCACTGCCATCTTCTGGCACCGGAGTCCCAGGGACCCTGTGCTTTAGCTGAACTGGAAGGCCCCTCTCACAACGCTGCTGGGAATGGCAGGGCTTGGTTTGTCCTGACCCCCCACATCACGTCTCAGCAGAAAGGGTGCCCCTGAGAGTGGAAGCCCACCCAGCACGGCACCCACCAGCTGGAGGGCAGAGGCCAGCCGGCCCTGCAGGTTCTGTCCCTCGCCCGCCGGCACCAGGCCCTGCTGCCTGCTGTGGGAGCCTCTAGCTGCGCAGCTGGGCGGCCTCTGGCCAAAGGCTTAGCCTCTGAGAGCCAGGATGGTCTCCGCCCGAGGACTGTCCGTCAGGCGGAGAGGGAGGTGCACCGCGGCTCCTGGGTGACCCCGGGGCCCGGGGCAGGCAGGGTTTTTACTGGGAAGTGTTTGCAAAGAAGCCAGCAATGCCGAGGCGTTTGGGGTGGAGTTTGTCAGCATGGATTTCTCTACTCTAGGGAGCTGTGTCATTTGCAAAGGGCTCAGAAGGGAAAGGAAGGAGGGAGGAAGGAAGGGAGAAGGAAGGAAGCTAGGAAGAGAGGGAGGGAGGAAGGAAGCTGGCCGCTGCTCCTTGGGAAGGCCGCGGAGCCGCTCGCTCTCGGTGCAGGGCTGGGCGCCTGGAGGCCTCCCCCGTCCCCACCGAACCCTCCACGTCCCGGGCGTCCGAGGAAGCTGCTGGGCTGTGGCCACGCCCCTTGTGTCCAGGCCTGTGCCAGTGAGCCCACTGCCCCTGCTGCTCCCAGCGGCAGGCTTCTCACTCCACCCGGGCTGAAGGAAGCACCTCCCTGGGGCGGGGCGGGGCGGGCCGGATGAGCCCCAGGATGCTGCGCCGAGATCTCGGGGAGCAGGCAGCGGCCGAGCAGCGGCAGCGCCAGGTGGCACTTTGTAAACATCTGCTCTGTCCTCTCGGACTGTCCTCACGTTTCCTCCTCAGGCTCCTTCCTCTGCTTCCCACGCGGTTCTGCTGGAGGCGGGAGCGGAGTCTAACCCCTCTCTGGTCCCGTGGTCCCGGGTGGCCGCCCTGCCGCCTGTCAGTAACCAGCCCTCCCCTCTGTGTTGTTTTCTCTGTTCTGACGCTCCAGGTCCAGATAGTCTCCAAAAAACTGAGCTACAGCCATGTTCAGTCCAAGTGCGGCTCCAAGGACAATATTAAGCATGTCCCTGGAGGCGGCAACGTAAGTACCGGCCGGCCCTGGGCCTCGCTGCCGGGCGCGGAGGAGCCACACCCTGTGCCACGGGCGCCACTGCCTCAGCATGTCAGCCCCGTGGGCGCCTGGCTGCTCCCGGCTGCGTCGGGGCCTGGCCAGGAGGGGCCGCTCCCGGGGGCCTGCCCTCCGGGAGCCTGGGCGGTGCAGGTCCTCCTGGCCTCCTCGTCCTAGTAGGGCAGGGAGTCCGCACACAGCCCCTCGGCCGCCTGCTCTCCTCGTCTCCGCACCGCCGCCTCCCTGCTCCGTCCCCGTTTATTCCTTCCCGGGTTCTTTCCTCCTCTTCCTGCCCCGTCCAGACAGCCTGTCGCACTGCTCCTGCGTGCCCGCCCAGCCCTGTGCTGGGGGACGGGGACACTGTCGGTCCGTCCGTGTGGAAGAGCACCCTGTGCGTTTGCCATGTGTCCCTGAGACAGCGCCGGGGTGGGACTGAGCGGGGCGGGCCGGGCGGGGCTGGAGGCCTCACGCCCTTCCTGCTCCTCCACCGGCTCCGTCCGCCCGGAGAGGGAGTCCTGCCTGCTCCCCCGGTGCTGGCTCCGTCCGCCCGGAGAGGGAGTCCTGCCTGCTCCCCCGGTGCTGGCTCCGTCCGCCTGGAGAGAGAGTCCTGCCTGCTCCCCCGGTGCTGGCTCCGTCCGCCTGGAGAGAGTCCTGCCTGCTCCCCCGGTGCTGCCATCCTGCGCCCTCGGGGCGGGTCTGGCGGAGGAATGCAGCCGGACTGCGCCCCCTCCCGCCCCACAGCCCCTGTTCACCCTCCCACACCGCCTCCCCGCGTTCCTCCCTGTGGGCGGCAGCCGTGGCTCTGCCCCAGTGTGGTGTGGGGTCGGCTGAAGTGGGCGACACTTGCTTTTATTTTTTTCCTTTTTAAATACTAGCATATTTTACTGATTTCAGAGAGGAAGGGAAAGGTAGAAACATGAATGATGAGAGAGAATCATTGATCAGCTGCTTCCTGCACGCCCTCTACTGGGGATTGAGCCTGTAATCCGGGCACGTGCACTTGACTGGAATCGAACCTGCGTCCCTTCAGTCCGCAGGATGACGCTATCCACTGAGCACACCAGCCAGGGCTGTGGGCGACACTCAAAGGCCTGGATCTCACTTTTCCTCTCAGCCTCGGGCCTGATGGGAACGGCGAGCACGGTCAGGGGGAACTGGGTGTATGTGTGACACACACACTGTGTGTGCGGTCTGAACATCGTCGTCCTCTTCCCCTGCTGTGGTCTCCACGCTCCAACACGGCAGCAGCAGGCCTTCCTGGGGGACGTCCTGTGTAAAGCGCCTCCGCCTGGGCGACTCGTGAACAGCAGGGCATTGGGGTCCTGCCGAGAGCCGTCTGCAGGGCCCTGAGCGCGGGTGCCGTGCTCTCCCCTCCGCCAGCCCCTCGGTGAAGCCCGCAGATGGGCATGCAGCTCCGCCACAGCCCCTCCCCGGAGAGGTGCCCCAGTGCCCACTGGGGGCAGGCTGGGAGCAGGGTTACACTCCACTACCCCCAGACACCTCCCACAGACACCCCCCCCCCCTACAGACCCCCACCCCCACAGTCACCCCCGGGGCAGTCGGCGATGGGGACGGAACTTAGAGCTACTTTTGTGGGTGATCCCACCTTCAGACTTGGCGGCAGTTTAACCCCGTTTCACCCTCCTGAGGACGGTGTCTGCCTGGACCTGCTGGCAGGGCCCGTGGCTGGGGCTTGGCTGTGTGAGAGCACGGCTTGGGGCTCCACTGGGGGCCCTGGGGGCTGTCAGGCTCCACTGGGGGCCCTGGGGGCCAGCCTTTGACCATGAGAAGCACAGCCTGGACCGTGGAAGCAGCGCCTGGCGCCCTGAAGCTGCACGTGGAGGGAGGGAGGGAGGGGAGGACAGGGGTGGGGGCGGCTGAGGGGGCCCAGCTCGGAGGCAGTGGAGCCTTCAGACCCTCATTTAGATTCCCAGTGTTTACCAAAGTGACAGTGACGGGTGGCCGTGCCTTTGCCAGCTCCTTGGTTTGTGGCAGTTTCCACGTTTGCGAGCCAGACAGTCTGTCTGCAGTCCGCACGGCAAGCAGTCCTCAGTGCACGTGTGTGCAGGCAGCAGGCCACAGCCTGGGGCGGGTCTGCATGTTGAATCTGGATGCTTTCGGGTCCTGAGCTGGGATGATGTGGATGTGCCCTCGCTCATGCTTCCTGCCGTGGCCCCGCGCCCAGGCCGGCCGCCGCTCGGGGGCTGTGTGGTCCTGGAGTCATTCTGCTGGCTGTTGCCTCATTTAACATGTTCCTTTCTCCTTTGTCTTGAGATTGATGCAGGCTTCCCTGTTCTCACCGCTGTTGTTGATCCTCACCGAGGATATTTCCGTCGAGCTTTAGAGAGAGTGGGTGGGAAGGAGGGAGAGAGGGAAGAGAGAGACGATGATTGGTGGCCTCCCACACATGCCCTGCCTGGGGCTGTGGATCGAACCTGCAGCCCAGGTCTGTGCCCTTGAGCAGGAGTCAAACCCACACCCGCGGTCACCCTCTCCCAGGCCGTGTCGGCGCCCACACGGAGCCCGGAGCCACGGTGCAGGCTCTGGCGCTGCTGCTGGGCCGTCCAGTGAGCGTCCTCACCCGCTGCTCTGGGAACGAGGCCCGCCGTCAGGAAGGGGGGTTCGAGGACACCCCGCTTCGGGGAGCGCCTGCCTCGCAGGCGGTGCGGGACGTGCGCCATCGGCTCCTTGTCAGCACCACCGCGTCTGGCTGAAAGAGGGCCTTCCCGGGTCCTGCCAGGGAGCAGCCATGTTGGAGGGGGAGGCGGTGGCGGTGGCTCTGGTGCTCTGTGAACTGGTGCTGGAGCCGTGGGGAGGGGCGGGGCCTGCGGGGCAGAGGCACCACGGCGAGGACGCGTCTGCTTCCCGATCCATTTCTGTGCCCGCGGCCTTGGGCAGCTGGAGGAGACGGCTCCTGGGGTCTCGGAGCTTCAGGAGGCCTCTCCGCTCAGGAAAGCGCGTCATAGGCTTTAGGAAGTGCAGGCCTGCGGCTCAGACCGACTGCTGGCCCCTGGGCACACGGTGGAGACCTGGCTCCTGACACAGGAGGAGGAGGCCTGGCAGCCGGTGCTGGCGCTGTGGTGACGGCCACCGGAGGCGGAGTCTGCTGGCGGCTCTAAGGGCCCTGCCGGGGGAGAGTGTGGAGAGCCAGGCTCTGCGCAGGCCCCTGGGCCCCACAGAGGCTCCTAATTGAAGACATGCCCGCGGCCCGGTGCCAGGCTGTCTGCCAGGCTCCCGCACGGCAGGTTCGACGAGAGCCTGTTGGCCGCCTTACCTCATGCGTGTATCGATGATAGATGATTGATAGATGATAGATGACTGATAGGTGGGGGGTGCACTGGAAAGAACTGGAAGGAGACAGACGGAACGGAGCTGTCGTTGACTCTGGGCAAGGTGGGGTGGGTATGTGGAGGTGGAGCAGGACGGGGTGTCAGGAGAGTGGGATCCAGAAAAGGGAGGGAAGCGTCTGGCGGTTGCCTGGAGGGGGCGGCGATGCGCGTGGAAGCAGTTTGGTCTGGCTACACGAGGGCCAGGATGGATCAAGGGCTCGTTCAAGCACTCTTGGGTGACCCTGACCTTGAACAGACTGAGATCGGAGCTCACAGAGAGCAGAAAGCATTGAACTTGGATGCTGGGGCTGAAAAGGGAGGGTGGCCTTGGCCTTGGCCTTGCTAGCACCTCCTCCCTCTGAGGCTGTGTTGGTTTTTGTCACTTTCTTCTCAGGTTCAGATTCAGAGCAAGAAGGTGGACATCTCCAAGGTCTCCTCCAAGTGCGGGTCCAAGGCCAACATCAAGCACAAGCCCGGTGAGCGTCCCTCCCTGCCCTGGTGCCCGGCCCGCGGGCTCTCACCCTGTCTGCCACTGCACAGCGGCGAGCGGGAGGCGGGAGGGCCCAACAACTTTTCCCCTTTTCCACCGGAACCCCCTGTGAGACCCCGCCCGGGGCCACGGGCGGAGTCGGCTGTGCGGGAGGCGGGCTCTGTGGAGGCCCCTGGCGTGAGGCGAGCACCAGGCCTCAGTGTGTGACGGAGAGCTGAGAGGCGGCGGCTCGAAGGAAAGCCACCCTTCTAGGCTTCCAGACCCTTGACCCTGCCTGCCCCCGCCCTGGCCACCCCCGCTCCCAGGCCCAGGCCTGTGCCTCCTCCTGTCGCTACAGTGAGACGGGGAGACGCTGGGCCCGCCCACCTTGCCATCCTGGCTGTCAGTCACCGTTGGCGGTGACTTAGGATCAGTCGCTTCCCCGCTCGGTGCCGGCAGCTGCGGGCCGAGCTGTCCCTGGGGGGCAGGTGTTCATGCAGAGGGGGGGCCGCACGCACTCCGCCCGCCCGCCCGCCGGACCACCAGCAGCTGTGCCGTGGTCCTGCGAGGACTGCCCTGCCTGACCGCGTGTCCGCCTCTGCCCCTCCTAACCTGCCCTCTGGTTCCAGGTGGAGGGGATGTCAAGATTGAAAGCCAGAAGCTGAACTTCAAGGAGAAGGCCCAGGCCAAGGTGGGGTCCCTGGACAACGTGGGCCACCTGCCAGCGGGCGGGGCCGTGAAGGTAGCGAGCGGGTCCTTGGCGGACGAAGTGGGAGGGGCTGCAGGGGAGTCTGGGTCCCAGCGGGTGGGTCTGTCGCCGCCTCAGTCTCTTCAGGAGTCACGTCTGTCTCCCCACACTGTGCTGTCCCATCGTCCCCATCAGCCCTGGGCGAGGCGGGGAGTGAGACCCAGCGGGACAGACCTTGTCCTGCCACGGCCGCCCGCCCTGGGCTCTTCAGCCACGTGCAGAGGGACCGGCTGGGCTCGCCACACGGTCGGCCACGCCAGGCACTCAGCTCCCGCCCACAGCAGGCCTGGCCCAGCTCTGGAGGACCCGGTGCTGAGCACTCGCTCCCTGCAGAGTCCCCACTGGCCTGGCTGGGCCTCTCCCCCTGCCCCTCCTCCACCCTCCCTCCCTCCCTCCCTCCCTCCTTCCACTGTCCTGCAAGACCCTCCTGTGCCCAGAGGCGTCTGTCTTTCCCTCCATGTCGTCCGCGGGTAGAGGACATCACCTCCAGCTTCTCGCAGAAAGGAGCAGAGGAGAGGGACCCAGCAGCTGCTGTGACCTGCCCCCCCCACCACACACACGCATACACTCACATGCACACACGCGCACACAGGGCCTGCACTGGGCCCCGCCCACCTTGTGTCCTGCCCTCCTGGGTGTCCAGACCCACCAGCAGGGGCCCTAGCTGGTCCAGTCACTTGCCCGAGGCCTCTCGGTTGGCACTGCCTTCTGACCCACGTCCTGTGGTTCGTCGTCATCACGTTGTGTCCCTTCTCTGACCGGCCGGGCGGCTGCCCGGAGCAGAGCTCCCTGAGCTGCAGAGGCCCGTGCTCCGCCCTGCCTCTGTGGGCGTGTGAAAGGGGGGCCCTGGCCTAGCGTCTCCGTAATCAGGGTCAGGGCCCGCGGAGGGGGAGCTGTGTGTGTGAGTCCGCCGTCACTCCATCCCACTCCCTCTCGGACTGACCCTGCACTGTCCACTGTTTCATTGTAGACTGAGGGCGGCGGCAGCGAGGCCGCTCCGAGCCCGGGCCCCCCCGCGGGGGCAGAGCCGGCTGTGCCCGAGCCCACGCCCGAAGCTGGCGCCCCCACTCCAGCCAATGGCCTCAGTGGCCACACCACCCTGGCAGGGGGTGGTGACCAAAGGGAGGCGCAGACCTTGGACTGCCAGATCCAGGAGACAAGTAAGTGGTGGGCGTGGCCTGGGCCAGCCGGGGCCCGCCGCTGGCTGCGTGGACAGCCTCTGTGCTGCCGAGCGTGGCCCCGATCTTAACGCAGCGACCTTTTATCTTCCAGGCATCTAACGCTGCATTCTGGTCTCGTCTCCGTCCCCTCTGTCGCCCTCTTGTCTCCCTCGTTCCCTCTCCCGTCCCGCCTCCCATGTCCCTGCAGATTGAGACCTACAGGCTGACGTTCCGGGCAAACGCCAAGGCCCGCACCGACCACGGGGCTGACATTGTCTCTCGCCCCCCCCACTTCCTCGGTGGCCCCAACTCAGGCCCCCGGGCCCTTGGCTCCCTGCCCCGGGCTGCCCACTAGACCTGACTTGGGTGCCGGGCAGCCCTCTTGCCCCCCCACCCCGCTTGCCTAGGGCAGCAGCAATGCCCACACCTCCAGCCCCTGCCCCAGGCCCAGCCCCTGGCCGTCCTCGCATCACTGCTCCGGGGGAGCTGGGCTCAGATGGGATCTCGGGGTCTCAGAGGAAGAACCAGATTCCACCCTCCTCTTTGTTTGGGTTTTTGGACCAAACCCAATAAAAACGGACACACCCACCCTCCTTGCTGGGTCCACCGGAGGGAAGAGGGTGTCCACATGGACGCCAGCCTGAGTGCCCCCTGGAGCTCGCTAAGCCACTGCCTCCCTTTGCCACATCGATGCTACCGCAGGCGCTGCCAGACCCCTGGCACGCCCCTGAGGGCCAGGCCGGCTGCCCCGCCGCCTCCCGCCTCCAGCTGCTGCCATACCTTTTTTCCTTGTTTTACCCTTTTTAAGTAACTAAGAACTGGTGGAGTGGTTGTGCAGGCTGAAGTCACGTCTGAAGGAAAGTCCTGAGCAGGTGTTTTTAAAGGAACCCGCAGGGGTGATCTGACCCCAGGTCAGGCAGGGGCCTGGCAGCTTGGGCCGAGGCGGGCGGTGTGGGCAGGGCAGGGGCGGGTGGCGCAGGAAGCCGAGGGGCTGGTGAGGTGGAAGGTGGCTCTGGCGTTTGGCATGGATGACGCTTTGCTTCTCTAACCGAGGCCGGGCTGGCACGTCGGTCTCATTCCTGGGATCTGGAGGGAGGTGGTCATGCTGGGAGGGCCTGCAGGCCTGGGACACTTGACCCTCGGTCCCCAGGGAGCCGAGGCGTCCGGAGGCGGGTGGGTATTTGGGGAATCAGGTCCAGAGATTGAAAAACGGAGGCATGAGACTGAGGCCCCACATCCCTGGAGCCTGAGGAGGGAGCAGAGGCGGGCGTGGCGGCCAGCCTGCGGTCCCAGCGGGCAGGCTGCAGAGCCCGGGAATCACTGACGCGAAGATTCTGGCTGCACTTGTATTTTTTGTATTAAAGTTTGCATGGTTTCTAATAAAGGATTAAACCTGCCTGTGGGTAGTGACATGGCTTCTCCGGACTCGAGCTGGGACCCTGGGGGCTCTGCAGCAGCATCTTCCCCCCACGCCCCAGCTTCCACGCACACACCGAGCAGCGCAGGTCTTAGATGTCTGGATGCTCGGCTGTGCAGGGCGGTCAGCACAGGAAGGGGCACGGGGGGCGGGGGGCGGGGGGGGGGGGCAGGAGACACAGGAGGCCTGAGGGTCCCTGTGGATCTGCCAGGATGATGGGTGCCCAGGTCGGCAAGACTGGCTCCTCCCACTCAGTTAGTTGTGAGTCGGGGAGGTGAGCCCGCTGGTCCTGGGAGCCAAGGGCGGCGGGCAGATGGGCCAGGACCAGAAGCCTGCGCTTGCACGGCTCTGCAGCCACCGGCGGGACGGTCCTGGATTGCCGACGCTGAAATAAAGCTCGTGGTGTCCCACCTGAGCCCTGTCTCCTGTGTCCTGGTGTCTCCCTTGTCCTCGTGCTTCCAGTGTGGGTCACTGTGGTCTCACAGGGCGGGCTGAGCTGTGGCCAGGACCTAGGGCAGGCCCGGGTGTGGCCAGGCCCCAGAGCCACGGCTGCCCGCGGGTGTCAGCCAAGCTGACCACGGCCTCGGGGAGGGAGACCAGGAAGGACTGGCTGCCCCACCTGCGAGGACAGGGACAGCGGTGACAGGCCACGCGGGGGACGACAGGAGCAGCTGTGGCGGAGGCGAGCTGGCCCCGTGGCCTGGCTGGTTAGGACGGCAGCCATGCTCGGGGTGGATCCAGGCCCTTCCTCCTCAGGCCTGGGGCACAGCCTGTGCCCACGCCTGGCGGAGGGCCCCCCGGACAGCGATGCTCACGAGGGATAAATAGAACTTTATTTTAAATAAACATTTGCCTCTGTACACAGCCCCACGGGCTCAGTCGTCGGCCGCCTTGCGCACGTCGAAGCTGCCACAGGGCCCCCGCAGCAGCTCCGCCAGCAGGGCCAGCAGCTGCCCGTGCTCCCGCTGCACCTCGGGGGGCAGGGCGGCCAGCTCGCTGCGCAGGCTGCGCTCCACCATGCGGCCCAGGGCGCGGCGCAGGCCCCGCAGCAGCCGCACCGTGCGCGAGTCGCCCTCCAGCCGTAGCAGGTCGCTGTCGCTGAGCGAGATGGTGGCCCGGCGCCCGTCATCTGCGGAGGGAGGGCCGGGCGGGCGGGTGAGGCCGGGCCGGGCCGGGCCGGGGCGGCCAGCCCGAGCGCAGCCGAGGGCGCCAGGCCCGCGAGCACCCACCTCGGACATGGACGTCCCCGTCGGTGAGGAGCAGCACGGCCAGGGGGTGCACCTGGGAGGAGTCCCGGACAAAGACGCTGCCGTTGGACTTGACGGCCATGAAGTACGTCAGCCATCGGCTGCGCAGCCGCGTGGCCTCCCTGAGGGGGGAGAGCTGGTGAGTCGCCGCTCCTGCCCCCCCCCCCAGGGGCCCCCCGCCTCCCCTGCCCCCACCTGTTAATGGTCGACTTGTGCAGCAAGATGTTGCCGGATTTGGTCCTGTATGTGACGCTGTTGGGCTTGAACTTGCCCTGCCGGGTCACCTTGCCCTGCCGCACCTGCAGGTGACAGGGGGCGGGCTCAGCCAGGAGCTGAGGGTGGAGACGACGGAGGGGGAAGGAGGCGGGCCGGGCAGCCCCTCCCGGGCAGCACCTGGATGAGGTTGGGGTAGAGGCCCGCCATCAGCACGCCCTTCACCAGCTCCTCCTCCTCGCTGTACTCGTTGCACTGGGCCGAGGCCAGGGTGCAGTCCGAGGGCTTGCCCACCAGGAAAGCCTCGTAAATGTTCTCGGAGAACTGCTTGATGAGTCCTGGGGAGGCAATGTGGGGTGACGGGGGCCCCTAGCCGCGGGCAGGCAGGAGCCGCGGGCGGGGACGGGGCGGGGGCGGGGTTGCTGACCATGGATGAAGCGCAGGCTGGGCGCGTAGAGCAGGTTCTCCTCCAGGTAGTTCTCGCGGGAGCCGCGGTCCTGCCAGCGCAGCACCTCCTCCCAGCCGGCCACCGCCCGCACGAAGGCCAGGTGGTCGCTGCCGCTGTCGTGGCTCAGCAGCGCCTTCACCTGGGGGAGGACATGGGAGGGGCTGCAGGAGGCAGCGCGGGCAGGGGCGGGGTGGGCTGAGGGCGAGGGAGAGCCGGGGCGGGGCGGGGCGGGCTGCAGGGGTGAGGGAGAGCCGGGGCCGGGGCGGGCTGCAGGGGTGAGGGAGAGTCAGGGCGGGGCGGGGCCGGCCTGACCTTGTCCACCTCAGCGCGGTTCTGCAGGCTGCTGCTGAAGGGGTCCCGGGTGAGGCAGGAGACCACCACGAGCAGCGGGTGCAGGCACCGGAAGATGGCGGCCAGCACTATGGCCTTGGCCAGCCGGGGGTCCGTGGAGATGTGGGCCAGGCGCTGCCCCAGGGTGGTCAGGTACTCGCGCTGGTCCAGCACCCCGATCTCCTGGAGCAGGATCACCGCCTCGTCCACCGCCTTGATGTTGGGGCTGTCCACGGCCTTGGAGAGGAACTCCACCGCCTGCGCAGGAGGCGACGTGAGCCGGCCGCGCCCAAGGCCCTCCCGCCGCCCCGCCCCGCCCGCCCACCCGCCCCTGCCGATCACCGTCTTCTCGGGCATGTGGATCTTGGCCTGCAGCACCAGGTTCTCGAGGGGCGTGCGCAGGATCTCCGGCACCTGGAACGGCACCATCTTCTCCAGCCGGCTCCGCGGGAACAGGTGGTACGCGAAGCCGGACTGGCAGCGGCCGGCCCGGCCCCGGCGCTGGATCACGTTGGCGCGCGACACCCACACCGTCTCCAGGCAGGACACCTGGGGGAGGGGCAGGTGAGCAGCCCACTCTCGCCGGCCCCTCCCCAGCAGGAACACCCCGTGGGGCACACAGCAGGTGCGAGGCCCATCGGGCAGCAGCCGGGGCGCTGGGAGCCCCGGGCTGGCGGCCGGAGGCGCGCACCTTGGTCTTCAGGTCGTAGCGCTCCTCCTTGTGCAGCCCGCTGTCCACCACGTGCACAATGTCGTTGATGGTGATGGAGGTCTCGGCGATGTTGGTGGCCAGGACGATCTTGCGCACGCCTGGGGGCGGCTGCTGGAAGATGGCCTTCTGGTCCATCATGGGGATGTTGGAGTGCACTGGGGGCAGCGAGCACACGGTCACGGGCCCGCCCCGCACAGCCCTGTCTGCTCAGGGAAGGGGCCACGCCCGCAGACAGGAGGCAGGCTGGTCAGACGGGCGAGGCGGTCCCCGGCGGGCGAGAGCGGCTCACCTGGCAGGATGAGGTACTTGCTCTCGTGCAGGCCCAGGGCCTCCTGCAGGCGCTGCTGCACCCCTTTGATCTCCTGCCAGCCGGGCAGGAAGCAGAGGATCCCACCTGTAACGGGCCTGCAGGCATGAGCCACGGCTCCTCGCACACGGGCACAGGGCCGAGGGGGCACAGGGCTGAGGGGGGCACCCACCTGGCTCCCCGCGGGCGTCGATGTGCAGAACCAGATCGGTCACGAGGTCCAGGTCGAGCGCACACTCATCCTCAGACTGAGGGGAGGAGAAGCCACGGCCGGCCCGGGGCCAGGGGTCAGCGGGTCAGGCTGAGGCAGCTGGCACTGCACCTGCCCCTCCCCACTCCCAGAGACCAGGGCCGGGCCGGGGGCCGGGGGCCGGGCCGGGGGCCGCGCCCTCACCTCGTGGTGCCGCCGGTGCGGGTGCGGGTGCTTGCCCAGCCGCGCCAGGATGTCCTCCAGGTAGTGCTCCTGGACGGGGAACATGAAGCCGGGCACCTTGATGACGGGGCAGCCGCCGAAGTAGCGGGAGAAGCGCTCGTTGTCGCCGGTGGCGCTCATGAGCACCAGCCGCAGCCCGGGGCTGAGGCGCTGCAGGCCCTTGAGCAGGATGAGCAGGAAGTCCGTGTTGACGTCACGCTCGTGCACCTCGTCCACGATGACGTGGCTCACGCCCTCCAGGCGGG